TTTCTCGTTAGTCTTTCGTCATTTTCTGCTTGGTGTCTTCGCGGTCACTTGTGTAAGATAAAGTAAAAAGATAGGAGCCGACAGGCGAGAGAACACGGAAAGGGAACGAAACTAATTGCGGCGCGCAGTCTGCTAGTTCTGTTATAACGATGGCGCCACTCGTTCGAGTCTCAATACGCCTTGACGTATTTTCGATAGTACGAAACTTTCGTTTGGCAGATTATAACGAAGGCACTACGAGTCGATGGAAATGGCTCATCTTTGATGGACATCTTTCCATTCTCAAGCGATCCAATGTCTACACTGAGAATTTGCCAAATCTTTCAATTTTGATGGTTTATTTTCCAAACTTATGCTGGAACACGATAATGATCGTGTTCGTGATCAATTATGTGAGTGTAAATATGTTATAATCATGTCACGTGGAAAATTGTTCCATAACACACACACACACACACACAATAATACAATTATTCTATAGCATTCATAAATATATATATTTTTCTAAGAAGAAAAATATTTGAGTCTTGTAAAGAAAGATCGAAAAGTATATAGAATCTATGCGTCTCTTTAAAATTACTGAAATAAAAGCATGAAAAGAAGCGAAAGATATTAGTTGCTGATACATCGAAGCAATATCACATTGAGCGAGTTAACTATTGATGCTATCGAGACTGGTTTTATTTATATAAAACTTGATATTAGACGTAAATGCTAGAAAAAGAAACGGACGATTTATTTTTAGTAAATACAATGGCAGATGCACGATATATATGACACGAGGCAATCCGATTTATATACAAGCAAATGCAACATTGCGACATGCTGTTTCGATACACCAATCGACATGATTTTATTGCACCCCCTACTGACTGCTCGCCGAGAGTTATCTTCTTCCCTCTTTCTTCCTCTCTCTCGGCTCCCTATTTTTTGTTATTTGTACACCAAACCGAGCCGAGTTGTTGCAGTACTACGGCAACAGCGGCGGCGGTAGTAGCGGCAGCAGAAAATCTCAAATAAATCCTTTCGTAATCCCGCATCGCTCCTTTCAGCCAGTCCGGATTTCCACTACTCGCTTTTATGCCACCTCCGTACCCTCACGAAACTCTTCCCTTTTCTCTTCCGCCCCCTTGCCATCCTGTCAAGAGAGGACTGCTCTATCGTCTCCATCTTTACATCTTTTCTTCTCTTCCCGTCTCACATTACCCTATTTTCGCCATTTTTCCTTCTTACCTTTCCTTCTCGTACCTTTATTGCATTTGTGCTAGCTTTCTCATTTTATTTTTCTTTCTTTCTTCGTTCCTTATTCGCACATTCCGTTTCTATCGTCTAATTTCATCTGTTCTGCTTTCTTGCTTTGTTGGTGCATCATCGCCATGTGTACGCCATTTATTTCGTTTGCTTTTCCTGCACGACCCTCAAGAACCATAGACTTCCTCGCCATTCATGCGTACCATCATTACGATATCTGGCGCCACAAACTGCAAGCATAAATGTCCGATTTCGAAACTACGTTCGTCACAGTCGAGAGCGCGAACCGGAATTGGTCGTCATGCAACGGGAAATGAGACAAAGAGATTTATTGAAACAGTGGGAGCAAAAAGATTTTTTAAGCCATTTGTCTTTTTTTTTTGGTGAAATTGAGAGTGATCGCGATTTATTCCATGTTCTACATTTCTTCCGGTATATTTATCGTGCATCATCGAACGTATTCTCGTTCGCATCGGATCACTATCCGTTTGAATTATGTCGCGCGATACTTCGGCCTTATCGCTATAAAGGAGCGCGCATTTGGTAAGTGTGAAAAAATGCGCGATTTTTTCCGTCGAAGTAGGAGGTTGTCTCCCTTACATCGTGTCACTTCTATCCGGTTTACGTTAAATCATTTTTTATGCTAGTCTTTATTCAAAGATTATCGTGACAGAATGAATGCGATATAATGTCAGAAAAGGAAGAAATCGTAAATAAATCCGCAGAACGCTTCAAAGTACTCTTACTTCTGGAATGTATTCAAAAGAATTGCTTATACAAGTTATGTAAACGAAATCTACAGCAATTTTTAGATCTTACATGATAGTATTGATGGTCAACTAAATTTTTATCGTTGCGCTTTTAGTAACACAACGTATTCAATATGAGAATAAATGAAATGTCGCAGGTAAAGTTAATGTTTTTCGGCAAAAACTGTTAGATCAAGCGTTTGAATGTATTTGATTATTTCGCATAAACAATTACCAAATAACGAAATAAACATTTGAATTTCAATCAGTTCATTTCAGATTTCTTGAAAGCCAATCACTTAATTAAATGGTTAAGAAAATTATTATAACTCTTGAGCACAATGGTCGTGTCAAGCTCAAGAGATGTAAGAAAGAATCGATCTACGAAAGAAAGTGGGTATTAAGGGTAGACGATAAAGCTCTCCCGCTTCATAAAAGTCACCGGAAATACGGGAAAATAACCCTGATTCAGTTCTACGTTTGATTAGGTCATTCACCTAGAACCGCGTCACTTAACCTCTTGTTAATTGCTCGATGGGTTTGAGGAATCGATGCGAGATTCTAAATTGTTTACTTAATTATCTATTATTTATCTATATATCTAAATTATTTATTTATTATGGTCTTATCGTTTCCGAGATAAATATTTGATCTCGTGAACTAACCATTGTTATATATAAAACTTTGAGTCGACCTACTGATAAGGTGCACTCTGCAAGAAGCGTGCGTTATCTTAATATTATAACTAGATAATTCGAGGCTCGCTGTATTTTAAATTGTTTACATAACTTTAAAGTTTAAAAAATATATGCCACATAATCTTATTTTGTTACGGAATAAGTAACTTTTCTCCGATAGGATTTTTCTTTTAATTAATTACGGCATTGTTGATTTTCAAATTAATGCGTTATTATTTTTAATTAATTAATGGCGTGTCAGCATAATACAATTTATTTTCCGATATTTGAAAGTAATGGATGTTGTATTGTATTTATTTTTAATTTATTTTTCTTTTAATTTCAATGAAATTTATTCCAATTATCATAAAATTTAGATATTAATTGGTTATTGAAATTAGGCTGCGAAATGTACCTCACTCGACTGATTGTAAATTTTCTAAATACAGATACTGATATAATATACATTTAAATTGCCTATATCATTTCCGAAGAATTTTTATCGACTAAGCTGATAATCACTCGACGTTGGCCGTGATCAACGCTTGCGTAGCAGAAAGTTCACGTTCGCCGTCTGGCTCGACGACGATAACAAATTCATTTCGAAGCCGCCGTAAACGATCCCCCGTTGAGCTATCCGCGAAAGTGCGCCCGAAGCTTTCGTAATTTATTAAAACGTCGCAGACACGAAAATTCGAACGAGCCTTCTGCCTTCTCGAACCTTCTTTCCCCCGCGCGCCACCGTCTTCTCCGCCTTCTTCTGCCCCAGCGCGGATGTCTAACTCCTTCCTCGATCTCTTTGGGGTCGCTGTAAAATTTTCAGTGGATCCTGCGCAAGCGAAAAGTATACCTGGGTGGTTACGACGGACTCACGTCCACCATTTACACACGTTTTCTCGTGTGTAGTTGGCGCGTAAAACGATCGTGAGGCTAGGCGAAGGGGCGTAGGGCGAGCAGGGACGGCCGGGCTCGGCACGTGGAATAAGAATCCAAAAAGACGAAGGTGAAGAAGACGACGAAACGGCTCCCCGGGGCTTTCCCCAATCAGCCGACGCCGAGGCGAGCTCCGCCGCTGCCGCGGCTAAAATGCACTCTCTTCTCGGCTCCTGGTATTTTCCCACCTAAGGCCACCGGGGCGAATACGCGTGAACTCGCTAATGCACGCTAGCATTGCCCGCGAAACAGCATCGCAGCCGGCTCACACCGGAGGCAACTTTTATACACTTGTATGGATTCCATTAGTAATCTTTATGCGATCTGTTAACGCGCGCCGTGCGAGAAGCCAGAGCAGTCCTTGGAGGATTTCTTTATTTTCCCGCGCTAACCCGGCGACTTTTACACCAGAACACTGAGCTGAGTCTGCATTCACATTGCGCGCGTCGTTACGTTTATGTCACGCTATGAAAACATTTTGAAGATTAGAAATTTCGATACGATCGTGGAGAACGTTTACTTATGAGAGCGTGGATAGGTAATCCTCAGACCATTTCAACGATTATTTGTAGTCGATTCCATTTTAGTCAAAAAATTTGATGCAGTTCCTTAATCATGTGTGTGTGTGTGTGTGTCTTTAATTCCTAAAAATTAAATATCTGATAGTTTAACTTGAAATAATAAGTTAATTAAAGTCAATTCCATTGATTTAAAATAATACTCAAGAAGTATTTCCTTTCAAACTCAATTATGCAATTATATGACGACGAAGACTATTTTTGCAAATATTTTAAATTTCTAAAATCTTATATAATTATTTATTATTAAAGTATTAATTTATAATAGTATTTTGTACATTTAAAAATTTTTTGTAATACAAATTTTACATAATTTTATGTTGATGCAAATATCGTTGATAAAAAATACTAGTTCTTTTTTGCAATAGTCTCGTGTTGTTTTCGCAATAATAAACTTCAATGTGTATGCGTATTCTTATGACGTAGGTATTAATTTTTATGTATTTCTTAAGCATTGTGATGTTGCGAAACTATGCGAAGTAGTATCCGGTTACCGGTTAGCAACTTTTGCATACTCGCTTTAAGCGATTCCGTTAGTAACCTTTATTCAATCCGTCGGGAAAAGAAACTCCTTCGAGAATTTTTCCCGGAACGGCTTACCTTTCGACTTTCAAACGAGACTGTTCTACTATTTCATGCATGGTGGTATCGAATAAAACCATAGCACAAAATAGCAGATGAAACATTAATGCTTAAAGAAAAAAGAATGTTATTTTACTTTCGTAAATAAGCGTTCTTTATATTAGGGTAGACATACAAAACAGACTTATTATTTATAATATATTAATATATTTCATCATTTTCTGTTACAGGTAAGCGTGCAGATTCATCGTACTAAAAATATACGCGTGAATATCATATTGATATTGTAGCGGTGGTGGAAATATAGAGGCGTCTCACTAAGTGAGTAGTACGGTATAGATTTGTTACTATTATTAAAGCGTTAAACGTTGTGACAAATATTTGTACAACAAAATATTATAGCAACTACATGTTGTTTCGCGATTATTCTCTATCAATTAGTAATTAGATACTCGATCACTCGTTTCCCACATATATTTGACGAAGCCAGATACATGGGGCGTTCTAATGAATGCTGCGTATCAGTGATACGCCGTAATTGCATTGTCTCGCCGATCGAATATACGGTTAATGTTTGGCAAGCATACGTGAAGTTAATTCACAAAACGCTCGATAAGTAGTCGATTGCTTGAATTATTGAGAGTGTAAATCGATAACAAATTCATGATAAGAAATTTTGAAATTTCTATATCTCTTTAGATTATTTTATATACCATATAGTTTATGTATACTATAATATATTTCTCGAGGTATTTTTTTCTTCATATTTGTAATACATACATATCTCTTTATCTTGTTTTTGAAATTTTTTTGGTCTTAATAATTCATCGGCATTTAGTTTGCCAGAAGTAAATATTCCTGCAGTCGATTGTTGATTCTATTTACCGCAGCCGAAACTCGCAGTTAATTAATACATCTACAAATGACAGACTTGGTCCCCTTTCACTTGATATCAATAACCGATAACTTTCCGTACGGCAATATCAATCGACTTGGCCCGAGACGAAGACAATCGTGGCGCATCTAACAAGACACCGCTATACACGATAGATCCTCCGAACATGGTTCCTAATATCGATCAGCATTGATCTTAAATATTCCAATAGCGACGTTTGATTTGGGGTAAGTCGGGTCGCGGTCAATTGCCTCTCTCGATTCTGGTCTGCGGCGATTCGGTCTGACGAAGCCATGCGCAATTAGGCGATGGGATCAATTTGATGGCAGCCAGACGATTGATCGAACGATCGCAAACTTCGTGTCGATCCTTGATGCACCCTTGCCGCGCTGCAAGAGAACCTTACTCCTTGAATCAACTCTCCGCGGCAAAGCATTCGCATTACTTACAGATGCGCAAACACGAGAAGATTGACAAACGCTGCACACGGGCAGGGGAGATATTGCCGCGCAATTGACCTCATATCCCCCTCGGCGTTACGCAGTATGATATTAGATTAGATTTCGGCAAATTGTCCCCTAGAATTACACGAACGCATGAGGGAGTCGTGCCGTTGTTTGCCAGGCGTCAGCTCGGAATTTCGTGAGATTGTTGCACCGAATGCAACTTGGAAATGCAGTCCGACGAGGTTGGCTGTTGATACGTTTGTACAATATTTGGATAGCGTAGCGCGAGTGGAGTTATAATTCAAACTACTATGTTTGCTAGAATACCATATTATTTTGTAATTAATTTTACGTGATTTTTACTTCACGAAATATTAATTTGCAATTTTATTATGAAACAACTTGAGTCTTGGATGTGATTTTACAAATGCGCAAAAAGTGCAGAATGCGATTCAAGTTGCCTAGAATCACACGGACACAATTCTATTATTGATTCCAACATTTTTAATATATATATATATATATATGTTATTTACGTAGTATTTTGATGTTAATTGCAAAATTTTTATTATTAACTTATTTCATTAATGTAACATTCCGAATAATATTTCTGCAAAAAATTGCAATATATATTCCACAATTAAACTTCACAAAAGATTGTTGTAGTTACAGTTTACATGCAAATGCTTTACACACGATTATCCGGATGAAATTTGCATGGCGTGACCACAAATAGTCTTTTCGCTTTTCATCGTGCAAATAGCAGCGAACATTACGCCACAATAATTACGTATTGTCATCTAATTGGCTCGATATCAACGGTATTACAGCGTGCGCAATATTAGATTAGATTTCGTCGAATTGTGCGTGGGACAGTGGAAAATTACACAGCTGCATTAGGGACTAACGGCTTTATTTGTCAGACATCATGATGTACGCGAGATTCTGTGAAAATGCGCTTCGTTAAATATCATTTAAAATTGATGAATCAATTTCGAGATTCATGAGAATTGATAATCTGCATAATCATTATTGACAACTGTGGATTAAAGTGTGATTTTATAAAAGAAGAAAAAGAAAGAAACAAATGATTCAATTTAGAACTCATAACGAAACGATAAAAAGATAGGCTTGAACTTTTTTGTAACAACAGGATATATTTGATCTAATAACGGAAATTTCGTGAACTCGTCATTGATTAATTTATTTGCAATTTCTAGCTGCGCTAGCGTATAGAGCTTGCTGAATTTTTACGTATCAGTCGGCGTTTTCGAAATTACGATGCTTGCGCGCCGAGGGAAAATCGTGTAACTTCCTAATAAAGTATTTAGTCACCGAATGGAAGCGCAGTAAGGATGGTTGTACGTAGAGAACACGAGGTGAAGGAGGCGGCGGCGGTGGCGGCGGGTGTAGGACGAGCAGGAGATGCAGGAGTGCTGGTACGGCAGGAGTTTCAGTTTCCGGGTGATCTGTGGCTCCCTCGTCGTGAGAATCGATGCCGCCAGCCGCCCAATAACCATACATCGTACGACTATCACACCCCTGAGGTATATACCCGCGCACCGTATCCTCGTCTCTCCTTCGCCCTCCCGCTCCTTCTCCCTTGCACGCACACGTGCCCTCCTGCGCCGTCCCCTCTTTATTCCAACCTTCTTCATCTCTACCTGCCTTATTACAAATAGCCAGGCGTACCTACCCGCTTCGCTTGAGAAAAATTGCTCGGGATTTGAATTATTGCGCGTTATCCTTCTCTCTTTCTCGCGCGGCTCGAATTACTATTCGTTATTTCTCCGGTCGAGATTCAAATTATCCTGCGAGATGCGAATTATTATTTATTGGCCGTTCATATCGAATATTCAGGTCGTCGTTTCTTTCGCAATTTTAAACTTTACCTCGAAATGCGCTACTCACTTTCTCTCTTTTTTCCCCCCTTTCTTTTTTTAACCTTCGCTTCACTCTCTTGAAATTTTTATAAGCAATCTCCTGCGCTGCAGTTTCATCTATTTGTACGTTTGCGTACGCGCGCTTCGTTCTGTACGTTTTGTTGAAGAAAAAAAATACTGTGACTTAGTAACTCGTTACTTTTCGATCACCGTGTGTCGCGCTCGATTGTTGTTATGCTCGATTTGCAACGTAGCGTAACAACACATTACTCGTGTTGTAAATATCTTCCGTCGCTGTTGGTTGCAGTGTACTGCGCAACCAGCCCGATCTCAGCCTTCACTTGAATTTCAGAACAGCATGTGGAATTAATCTCTATCAAGCTTGATATAACGAAGATGAGTGGAATCGATGGTTGATGTCGATGTGCGACACCAATGCGAGAGGATATGATGATTTTTGCAGATATATATGTTATTTACATCGCGTGTATTTTGCAACATATACATTACGTCATTCTGATTCTTTTTTTATTCTATTATATTCTATTATCGCCTAGTTCAAAGTAACATTTTTCCTTATTTATATTACACGTTAATGAATGTTTGGTATTTTTATGCACCAATACGTTTTTAATTACAAATAATGGAAATGTTGCAGACAACTGTTATTGATATTTAAAGATAATTTTGATTTTTCGAATGAATAATTTAAATGTAGATTTGTTAAAATTGCACAATGAGATACAGTGGCCATTATATTATTCGCTATTTTTTGCTCATTATGGAGAAAGGACATTTAAGACGTTGACTAAACGTGGAAGAGAAAATTGTGTTTCCGCTCCTCGAGTGAAATTATGCAAAGTTACGAGTACGGCTCCTGTTTCTTGATAAACCGTTAACGTATTATTAAAATTAAAATCCAGGGTAAGCGGTAGAAAATCTACTGTAATTTAATCTCTTCGAGCTACGCAGTTATGAAATTATGGTTGGAAATCTTCGTCTTATTTTCACGTTGCATTGCACGATTATTGATATTACATCATTGGATATTTCGACATATGAAAATTAACGAAAAAAAATATATGTCGATCGAGTTGAAATATTCGCAAAAGTTATTATAAAGAATGAAAATTGTATTTAAAGTGATTTCCACACGGAGAAAATTGTATATCAAAAATTACTTACTTATGATACGGCAGTAGCCGCGAACCATAAGAGGAATTATAAGTTTCAATACTATGGCCATTACTGTGAAAAACATAGTAAAAATTTTTATAATTTCATCATAGTTCGCGACTACCGCCGAACATAGTAATTTTTTATATAAAATTTTCTCCGTGCAGTTGTGTGAATAATATATATTAAAAATGTTTCTTATATATTACACTTGGCACGGTGCAGCAAGATATCGAGTGAGGTATTGCTTCAGGTTCGTGGCGAATTTAAATGCGAGTGGTACGGCGAGACGTAGGTCGATTAGCATTACGCTGTGGGATAGCGCGTTTTAAATGTTGCAATTAATTGGCGGAAGGAGGAAAGAGGGAGATGGAAGAAAACGCGCTCAAAGGAGATATTTACAACGGTTCTGATTCGACCGCGAGGAAAGAGCTCCTCGGTTCAAGATGCCCACGGAGTTGATGGGAGGAAAAGGGGGAGGAACGGAGGCGTAAAAAAAGGAAGGAAGCTCGAGAACATTCGAGAGTGGAATACGAAGTGAGCCGGAGGAGACGAGACGGAACGCGATAATTGCGGCGAAGGATAATTTAACAGGGCGGCTCTTTTCCGCCTCGGCTTCTGCTCGCTGTCCGCCCCCGCTTCCTCCTTCTCTCATCTTCTCTCGTCCCTGTTTTTAATACATCTTTCACCGTCGTCGCGGCACGTAGCGGCACGCCATAAATGCTAAATGTATATCCAAGAATACTCTATCGAGAAAATAGTATAATCTCCGGTTAGAAGCGTTACAAGGATTTTCTAGAATAATTTACTTCTAATAAGCTATATTTAATTATTTCAATTTTAGTGAGCACAGTCTAAAGGATAATAAGATATACGGTTCCTTTAGACGGTACATCTCTTCAATTTCTACTTTATTATGAAATTTCTTCAAGACATAGATTCGTATATCG